TCAGACAGTTAGCTCAGGTGCAAAAGTGACAACAGTTGAGAGCTCATCAATAGATTTTTCATTGTGAATTCCTCTTTCTGAGGAAACAAATACAAACATGTCAGAAAAGGTAGAATGCTTTATTTAAAAAAGTAGAATCTTTTAGTAACATCTCTCTCTGAAATATAAATAGCTGTGTTGAAAATTATTTGCTTAAAATAATAAACAGTTGACATGCCAAGCACCATTTCTTACAAAATTCCTTCACAAACACATTGGAATCTAAATAAATGTATTTTGGTTGCATTTTAGCTTTACATAAGTATAAAATACAGAAAAAAATAAGAAGAAAAGCCAAATTAACACTTTAGTAGTTATTAGCTTATTCCATGGCCATGTGACTTGTTACATGCTCCTACAACACTTTGTATAAAGAACTGGCTCCAGTGCTGAATTTTAAACAAGACTTGCACAGACCTTCCAAATGCAGTTCAGAATAGTTTCCATTACCAAATTTTGGGCTTCCGTAAATGTGCCCCTCATTGACTTTCCCCTCTGAAATAGAACTGAATTTCTACACTTTACCATGATTCTTCAGAGACGCTTTTCTAACTGATCCATTATCTCCACATTTTTATATAGACAACACTGTCAAGTTCTTATTAATCTATTTAATTTTTTTTTACGTTACGTACTTCCATTCAACGGTCTTGAAATACTAGACTTTTTACTTTAAGAATTAAATATATTTTGATGAATTTACAGAGATCTTTAAATTAAAGCACCAGGAATCTCTGTGAAGTGCAGATGTGAGAGGCTAACCTAACCTTGCACCTTCTACAAAACTGGTGAAGAGAGTTCCAGCTCCCCTCGACAATTAATAGGAATGAACTAAAGTAATTTAATACATTTGCAAAAAAAAATGTAGGTGGGTAGCTGCGTCAGCATGCGTAGGCTGCAAAGGAACAAGTAACAGGTTTATTCCATGCTGAAAAAAAGAAGAAAGAGAACAACGTTTCGGCCGTGGAGCCTTCTTCAGGTGTGGATATAAAAAACAGTTATATCTCTTTGGTCTTCCATCAATATTCTCACCTATTACTTAAAAGTGGCAGTAAAAAAATAATCTCCAAAACCAGTCATTATTAAGTAACAAGTCCGGCTTTTTTGTTCTCTTCTATACTGAGGTTTAAAAGATTATGCAAGATTTCAGGGTACTCTCGGAGCATTGAGGCACAGATGCCAGTCTTCACCAAGCCACAGATCACTTCTCTTTGAAAAGAGAAAGCTCTGGTTTCTTCCTCACTGGCCTGAAGAGATCAACACTTCCAGAACGGGGTATATTTCTCCTCTCCGTCACAGCACCATAGTGGCCTTTGCGTCTTGGCACCGTTTCTCAATTCCCAGATTAGCCATCTCACACACCCCCACTGGCACCTCGGCACGGTCGCAGATTCTTCAGAATTGTCTTTGGGGTGTCCAAGCACACCAGCAAAGCTCCAGCAAACACAATCGGCACCATCAGCGCACCAACCACGACGAGAGGCCACCTGCATCTCTGCTCACCAGTTGGACCTTCTCCTGAAACCAGGACACACAGATCTCATATTAAAGGAAGGACGAGAGGGTTATGTACATTAATGGAAATTCATTAGCATGCAATAAAAAAAATCCATATTGATTTCGTTTTCAGTTCATTGGAATATTTTTATCTCCTGTTCATTTGTATTTTCCGACAGGCTCGTCACAGAACTACAGAGAAGGTATGAAATTTCACAGAACCTTTGCTGTATGACGCAATTCTTTTGACGAAACCATCAGAGACATTGTTTTGTTACCTGGAACTAGGCTGAACTCCCTGATGATTTCCTGATTCAGAGCAGCGTTCCGCAGGATGAAGAGGACAGAGGAGTTGGCCCTTCTATTTCCTGCTAAGGTACTGGAAACCCTGAAGAGTCCATCAGCATTCTGTTGGTAGTTTGTGACCGCCTGCTTGGAGACATCGTTTCCCTTTTCATCTACCCACTGCACTGTGGCACAAGGGTAGCCCAGTGATTCCAACGAGAGCTCTACAGCCAAACAGGTCACTTTGATCTCCAGACGGGGTTCAGTGTAGAAAGCTGAGGATAATAAGAAATACACAGAACTGTGGTGACCTGATAAATTACCCATATGCTTGAATTTGTGATGAGCAGTCAAATAGTTGTATCTTGTGAGTTAACATTATAGATTGACTGTTGATTACAAAAAAGGTTTTATTTGTCCTAATTTCCAGGCTTTCCTGGGAAAATGAACCACAATAAACCACCTCCTCTGCAACCAAAACCACAGGGCTTCAGTTTGGTTTCAAACACATTTACATTTAAAAACACGTCTGAAGTCCATGACATGTCCAAAGCAAAGCAATATCAGTATGAGGCCCTGGGAGTCTGAGGAAAGGCAGCTCCTTTAAATCTACTCACTCCAAGGATCTCTAAAGGTCTCTGGTGTGAAAAGGAACTTTGTTCCCCACAGGATATTGAATCGACAAAAATTGCAAAAATCTCCATACCTGCAAAATGCAGGGCAAAGGTTCTCCTCTGGCTCCCCATCAGAGAGCTGACGGAGCAGGTGTAGTCCCCCGCGTCCCCTGGCCCCACGCCCTGCAGCCGGAGGGAGGCGTTGCCTTTCTCCAGCTCCGCGGGGTACAGGCTGGTCCGGTTGGCGTAGCGCGGACTCTGCCTGCCCAGCTGGTCCTGCCCGTAGTAGAAGCTGTGGACCACCTCATGTCCCCGCTGCCACGTAATCACGGTCTTGCCCATGTCTAGAGCTCCTTCCACGGTGAAGCTGCACTCCAGCACCATGTGTTGTCCATGGATCGCCACCTGCGGCGTGGTAGGAACCCGGACTTCAAACTCGGCTGGAGAGAAGGAAAGGAGACACTGTGAGGAGGGGAGAGGATCTCCTTACACATACAAAAACATGAGAGGGTCACACAGACTGCACTGGTTCTCGGAATGACTATAGGGCCACTTATCTTGCTTTGGGCTGCTACTACAGAGGCTGAATTTCTTCTGCCTCGTCCTCTCTTGCAAAAAAGACACCTGCCCACCTCCGCATTCCTGTCTTCACCTACACTGAAGTTACTTTTTCCTAAATCAGCAAAGACGGTAAAAATGAATAGTGCTAGGGCACCACTGTATTGTATGAAACATTAAAAAAGAAATGTAAAAAGCATGATCACTTTCGAAAGGGACTTCTCATGGACACATGTGCAGGACAGTTCCCTGCCAGGCTGCATCAGGAGTGCACGGTCCTGCCTTATTTCAAGGACAGACTCACTCCAAGTTGCTCAACACAAGGAGCATTAACAGTCAGTAGAGCATCACAGGCAGGAAGACCTGGGCCCCTGTCGTTTCTCCCGAATGACCAGTTAAAAGTGCCCCTTGGAAACTCCTCCAGCAGTGAAAGTAGGTACACGTACCTGAAAAGGATCCCGAGAGGAGCAGGAGGAATAGGCAGCAAACGCATGTGCTCACAGGCCTCAGGGTCATAGCAGAGGGGTGTGTACCGATATTAAAACAATATCCTGTGGAGTCCAAAAAATAAGGGGATGAGAAAACTCACAAACTCCTCTGTTAAATAATATTACTTTTTGCCTGGGCACCGAGAAATTGTTTTAAACGTGAGATAGCGAAATATTGGTTAGAAATACAGACAGGACGAAACAATTGTAAGCAAGTTACGCTCTGTATTGTACTAATGCTATAAGGCCACAACTGTTGTGGACTTTCTGCACCACATCTGAAATTGCCACACGGAACTCTCCGCGTACAGCCTGCTGAAATTACGGCATTCCGTCATGAACCAGGTGGAGACACACTTCACATGAAGGCTAATTGAAGGCTGTATTTTAGTGATGAATTGAATATATCCCAGTGTCACCTAACAGTCACTTTAAGGACAGTTTACTCCGAGTACGTAAGACAGGCGGTTTCAGAGAAAAAAAAATGACATAGGCTAGCTAAATCTGACATTAATTTCAGCAAAAACATTACTTTCCTTGGTCGATTCTCATTTTTTAAAGCTTTGTGATAAGTACTAAGTTTAACCGAGTTTTAAAGGAGCCTTAGCCAACATTTAGTTCTCATATCTGTACTTATAGCCTTATGAAATCCGGGAGTTATCGGAAGAGACAGTTCGACACAATCGGATAATCTGATTTAATTATAAACATAGAAAAGTCTTCCTAAGAGGTAAAAATCGATGTAGGTGATATTTTTAACCCGAGTGCAAAAAGAAGAGAACACTAGCAGAAAAAAGCTAAGAATATTTACCATTCATCTCTTAAAGTTTCTATCATCCCTGATGTCGAACAGACCATACACCAGACAGCCGTGTAGAGCAAAAACACGCACAGAATGTTTTATTTTTTTAACAATAAGTATTAATGAACAAGTTTCATATACTTTTCAATTCATATTACTGTAGTACGCCAGGTATTATATGTAAGTGTTTGACCTGACGTGGTTAAAGACGCTTTAAGTATGACAGATGCTGACGGCTGAAATGTCTGTTCATACATAAATGATCGATAAATATTCCCGACTATAAACGACTGAATCATCTCGACCTCATCTAGAACTCTCACACGACAATATTTCAGATGACCAAAATACATGTAAATACATTTGCTTACCCGCTGTCGACAGTGTAAAAAGCAGTTTAGCAGCAGCTCGTCAGTATTCGCACAAGCCTCTGAAGAGGAAGGCTGTTAAAAGCGAGGGGTGGGGTCATCGGAGTTACGTGACGTAGTATCGTTTGACGTAGGTTACAAAGTGTTGTGATATTACTACGTTCCTAAGGATCGTGGTTTTTGTTTGTGGCTATTTGGAGGCTTTATTTTAATCCAAACAAGGAAATATTACAGTTTCCGTTGTCTTCATTTTTCATTCGATTCAAGTAAGAAAAATAATTAGACTAGTGCTCTTGTAAGTCTGTCGTGCTGGATAAACAACAATGTTGTCCTTTGTTGACTGCCATCATTTTAAGTAACAGCCTTCATTCCTCCTATTAAACAATGAGATAATAGAGAATTCGAATTGTTGTCCAAGTCTTTTTCCTCTAGATCCTTACTGACAAGCTGTCAACAGCAGCGAGGAGCGTCTTCAAGTGTCCCCTTAGAATGTCAAGGTGTCGGCAAGAAGAAACTGAACCGAACTACAGTCACAGCTTTGAGACCTACCTAACGTTGAAAACACCCTTCCATGAAAGTCATGTTGTTATAGATAGGAAAAAGTAAAGGTTTATTCCATAGTGAAAACAGAAGAAAATAAACATTTCAGCGGTGGAGCCTTCTTCGGTTATGTCATAGATGTACTGTATATGTACTCACACACATATATATATACACACACACATTGTGATAACGTCGGATGTAATAGGAATCTGCCTGAGCAACAGCAGAGCGCTTGTTGTTTTCTGTGCGGTGTGCCGGTGTGTAATCGTCTGCCAGTGTTCTGTTCTCTAGGAAAGGCGAGAATCCTTTCGTGGATCCGAGTAAATGTTTGTGTCGCCGGTGAAGGGGGGGGAGGGGAACACGCTCGATTCTACGATGAGCCCCGTCTGCGGGCGTGTGGGGATCTGTAAAGCGCAGCTTTGATGAGCCTCCGGTGTGATAGCTGCGCATTCCCACGCACCGCGGAGTGGGGCGCGCAGTGGGAGGTGGGGTCCGCTGTCACAATATACTGTATATGTTGTAACGCATACGGCCACCATTGCACTGCCCTTTCCTGTGAATAGCTGGGACCGCAGTCGCCGGGCTGAGGGGAGATTTCCCTTTGGCTCAAGTGGCTGGGTCCCTTTTGAGGGAGGCCCGGGTTCGAGTCCCCGACGGGGGGTCCGACCTGAGGCGGCAGCAGCGAGGGCGCACACCCACGTGAACCCGAGAGTATTACAATATAATTTACATATATATTTGTTACATGTTTTCGATTTCATTGTACACATCTGTAACAAAGTGACTTGAAGAAAGGTCGAATTACCTTATCGTCCCGTTAGGTAAGGCGTACTGAAACAGCAAAACTGTGGTAAAACCTCGGTAAAAACGTAGTAAAAGTGCGGAAATACAAAGGTCAACTCCGAAGCGTCAAGGTAAACATTCAGAACGCTAACTAAACTTTACTACTTTAAGGATGTGTGCTTGCCTGCTCTCTTTTGAACTAACATCCTACAGCACATTTTTCTCCGAAGGCTTTGTTGCAAGCGCCAGGGTGTCTGTGATAAAGAAAGTGATTTTTAAAAAGACATTCTTTCGATAAGGCCACATCCCAGTATGACGTTAAGGTAAAAATATCATGAAACTGTTTCGTTCCACAGATAAATATAGATAAGCATAATCATCTGTGTGTATTTATAGCATAAATATTACTTCATTTCTGAGTACGTGGTACAGGTGAGACTAGCAGGCAGGTTGGCCAGGTGTGTGTGGATACTATGGCACAGACAATATAGTAAACACGCCAGAAATTATTGGAATGACAAAGTTATGAGTCATTTTCCTCCACATCCATTCATACCTCCGATTAAACAGGGGCCAAAAACGTCACATGACAGAATGAGTCAAGGATTCAAAAATGTGTCTTACTTAAATGTAATAACGTTTTACTGTAATCATGATAGCTAGGGCAATGCCATATTTGTTGTAAACAATTAAGTCCAAAAAACGACTCCATAACTACCTTATCTAGAGGTTTCTGGTGGTTTACTGTTTCCCTGGGATATATAAGGATATAACACAACATTCCTGGACTTTATTTCTGGAGTTTATTTACGACAAACACTAATTTAATCTGTGCATTGCTATTTTTTTAAGTAAGAAACTTTGTCCAATCTGTAAGTCCTTCTGTTAATCGAACGTGTATTGTTCCTGTTGTTCCTACAGGGCTGTGAACAGGTTTGGATGATGCTGTAAATGCGAAAGAAACCGCGTGTAATTGATCACGTGTGTCTGTGAGCCTGATCCACGTCACTGTTTCATATGAAGCCCTCTCTGCGCGACTGTGTTAGTGGTCCTAGGGCAGTATGCGCTCTTTAAAGTGCTGTCTGCTGAAGAGCTTCACGACGGTGTAGATTTCTGTCAGAAGAAGCTTAACATCCCACCACAACAAATTCAGTTATCCCGAAAATTAAGTGTATGCACGAACATTTGTCTTCAACAGAGACTGCTGGACATGCGCTGTGCTCCAATCCCAGCTGCGTGAAGCTGCCCATTTTACGAACGGCACGAAGAATGAAACCCACCGTATCCATCTGTACCGTTGAAGATAGCATTTAAGCTGCTTTTGGTCCCTAGCTACAGTGTAGCGACTTCTTTTTTCGGGAGGTGTGACGCGAACCGAACCGGTCTCGTTCTGCGGCGCCCAGTTACTGCCGGTTTGTGCAGTTGAAAGTAAAGTCCGAGCTGCTTTCGATCACGAAATAACAGCGACTTCTTTTTCTGGAAAATTACTTGACCGTCTACAAGGAGCTTGACCGTGAAATTGAAGTCCAGGAACCGGATTTTATCCTAGGGAGGCACTCACTACAGTTTAGCTGTTTATTAGTAGTACACTCTGAATAGTCAACGTACTCTCAATTACTGGACTTGAAGAAGCCTGGTTCTTGTCCGCTTTCATATGTTTGCCGAGCACAAATCCTTGTAACAAAGTATTGACATTAAATGGAATTTTCCGAGAATGCCTGCAATTCGCTTTTTCAGCCTGTCCCTTGGATATTTTTCGTTTGGATAACAGTTGACTATTTGCATTTCATAATACTTCATAGCTGTAATATGTAATAAAAAAAAGTAATACATGGGGTTTCACGTTCCATCTTTTTAAAATATATTACTCAAAAGACTGTCAAAGTTTTAAATCTTTCAAACCAAGTATTTAAAAAAATAGAATGAACAACTTCCTGCATTAAAAACAGTGTTTTACCATCTTTTAACTCAATGCTAAAACAAACATGGAAGAGAAGGATATTTGTTTTGTTAGGGACTCTATTGAATAAATCGACCTTAACAGTAAATAAATCAGCAAAACATTGGAAACACTACCATATCACAAATACAGTTCAGTGATATTTGAATATTTTTTAACTAAAGTTTTGAAAAGGATATCTTCTATATTGTATTTGAATGGCAATGTTTTTACAGTTCTTTTGTAATCCTAGGTGATACAATTTCTTCACTAAAACATTGAAAACAGGTTCTTTAAAAAAAAAACCCATCACTGTCAACTTTTAAGTCCTCTTCTGTATATAAGACTGTTAGGTCACAGTCCTTTTTATTTCTGGTCTGTTAATCCTTTGTGTAGAATGCCCCATAAGGACAACGGGAGCTCTGAAGTCACAGATATGCCTACTTTTGTTAGATCATCATACTTCTCCCAGGTGAAACTATGTCTTATGCTACACAGATGTGGGATGCAGGGACCAAGCACACATCTCTGGGCAGGCAGACAGAAGGCAAATGATGCCTCTCATCTCCCTATTGAATTCCAGAATGTGTAAACAAATCTGAAAGCCAGACTTCAAGGATGTTTTCCATTCCCCCCCCCCCAGTTCTATTTTCATGAGTCAGCTAATTTCCCTAAACCCTTTCAAAACCTAGAATTGCAATCTCCTTCTTTAGAAGGGCCATTACTGAACTGGTTCTGTTATATATATACACACACATTTCCTGCTACCCCAACCTACCATCTTCTCTCATTGTGCAGTTGAAGCCACCTTTAAAATGCACGCTATAACCTAAAGTTTATAATAGTGAAGGTTGCTTCTGTATTAAAGTGATGCAGGTTCAAGAATTCACTCTTCACTCAAAAGCCTACTTACAGAGAGGGAAGTCCTGTGTTCTAGATCTGTACTTTAAGACCAGCTTGTTAAAAGAAGGGTTTGGTTTATTGAGTGGCATTTCCCCATGTATATACACACACACACCTTGAAGTGTAAAGAACGAGGCAACCCATTGTCTACCCATCCCTCCCCACAGAATCCCCAGGTTTGCACCTAGACTAGGAAAGCCTGCTAAAGCTACAGATCACACCTGCTTCCACCACTTGACCTTAATGGTTAGCTGTTGCATTCTGGGATTGCACTGTCCACTGGAATTCATACACTATTCTCCAC